GTCCCTGCTGCCCTTCCTGCCCTTCCTGCCCCTCCTGCCGGGCCCCGCGCTGGCCGCGGCCGCAGGTGGGTGCGGCTTGGGGGATGCGGGTTTGGGGGGGATGCGGGTTTGGGGGGGATGAGGGTTTGGGGGGATGAGGGTTTGGGGGGATGGGGGTTTGGGGGGATGGGGGTTTGGGGGGATGCGGGGTTGGTGCCTGCGGGCTATGGGTGGTCTCGGTCTCTGTCCCGGTCTCGGTCCCGGTCCCTGTCGCCGCTCGGTGGCTCCTGTACCGTCCCCCGCGGGTTGCCGGGCTCAGCCCCGGGCCGGGCTCGGTGCTGCCCAGCCCGGGGATGCGGCTCCCCAGTCCCCGCTGAGCCCCGGGCCGCGCTGCGGGGGATCCGCCCGGTGCTCGGGGGTGCCTGAGGTCCGGGAGGTGGCACCGGTGCTTTCATCAAAGGGCGATTAAATGTGTACATGGACGCGAGGCTGGGGTGAGGGTTAGGGTTAGGAAATGCTTTGTCCCGCTGGGGAAGTTTGTTCTGCAGCCAGGGCGGGGCTGGAGCTCAGTAATCCCAGCTCCAGGTGTGTCCCAGGGCTGGAGCCCTCTGGAGCCAGGCTGGGAGAGCTGGGGGTGCTCAGCTGGAGAGGAGAAGCTCCGGGGAGAGCTCAGAGCCCCTTGCAGGGCCTGAAGGGGCTCCAGGAGAGCTGGAGAGGGACTGGGGCCAAGGGCTGCAGGGCCAGGAGCCAGGGAATGGCTGCCAGTGGCAGAGGGCAGGGCTGGATCTTGGGATCTTGGGCAGGAATTGTTCCCTGGCAGGGTGGGCAGGGGCTGGGATGGAATTGCCAGAGCAGCTGGGGCTGTCCCTGGATCCCTGGCAGTGCCCAAGGCCAGGCTGGACATTGGGAGCTCCTGGGACAGTGGGAGGTGTCCCTGCCATGGCTGGGAATGGGTGGGATGAGATTTAAGATCCCTCCCAACCCAAACCATTCCAGGGTTGAATGAGGTGTGCACAGAACATGTGCTCGGGTTCTCTGTGAGCTCTGCATGCCCTGTGTCCCATACCCCATATCCCATATCCCATATCCCATATCCCATATCTCATACCCCATATCCCATATCCCATGTCCCATGTCCCATACCCCATATCCCATACCCCATATCCCATGTCCCATATCCCATACCCCATACCCCATATCCCACTGGTGGCCATGGCCTGGTCCCAGCCTGGCACTGCTGAGCCCTGTGGGGCTCTCTGCTCGCTCCAGGCCAGCGTGGCTGGACTGAGGCAAGCAGGGCAGGGTGTCCTGCAGCCAGCACTGCCCAGTTCCATCCATCAGCAGCTGTGGGACTTCCCAGGGAGCTCCTGGGAGCTCCCAGGATCCCTGAATGTATTGGCTTGGGAAGGCCCTTGGAGCTGCTCCCATTCCATCCCCTGCTCTGGGTAGCAATCCCAGGTTACAAGATGAGAAGCCACTTTGGTGCACTGGAACAGCAAAAGTCCACACAAAATCCCCCAAAGCACAGATTCCTGTTTTGTCAGTGTAGCAGGAGGGTTTGGGGCTGCTGCAGGGCGAGGGATTGGGAATCCCTGAGGAGCAGCAGGAGCTGGGACACGGGTGGGTCACCCAAGCCCAGCTGCTTTCACTGCCTGCCCTTGTGGCTTCTCACTCTGCTGTGTGAAAGCTCTGACTTGTGGTGTGAAGCATCAGGAAGTCTCTGCACGGCAGGAAAAAACAATCTGAGCCTTCTGAGGCTGCTGCTGTGACAGAACCAGCCCAGTGAAAACCCCCTCCACCTGCAGAGGAAGGATGGGACCTCTCTGGCCGAGGGGGTTTGGGGTGTTGAGGGTACTGGGACCTGTGGCTGCTGCGTTTGAAGTGTTTGTTTTGTCATTTTACAAACCGGAGATCAGTAGGAAGCTGAGTGTGTGATTTCAGCAGCTGCAGTTGCTGCCCTGAGAGGGGGGGATCTGGCAGAAATTCAGATTTCCCTCGATGAGCAGCTCCTCGGCCTCGTGGCTGCCTCATGGCAGCAGAGCTGATGGGCCCTGCAGCGCCTTTGAAAAGCTCTGCAGTGTTTTTGAGGGGAAATGACTCATTTCTGCATGTAAAATAAACAGTGTGCACTCATGGGATCCCAGACTGGGCTGGGGGGAACTGAGAGCCCACCCAGAGCCCCCCAGCCATGGCAGGGATACCTCCCACTGTCCCAGGAGCTCCCAATGTCCAGCCTGGCCTTGGGCACTGCCAGGGATCCAGGGGCAGCCCCAGCTGCTCTGGCAATTCCATCCCAGCCCCTGCCCACCCTGCCAGGGAACAATTCCTGCCCCAGATCCCATCTAATCCTGCCCTTGGCTGCTCTTTTCGTGATTTAAGGTGTGGTGGGAAGCTGTGGGGTTTGGTTCTCAGAGCTCCCTGGGTGCTGCAGCAGTGTGTGACAGAGGTCTGAGGGCACAGATGGTGTGAGATACCTCACCACGTGCCAGACCTGCACTGACAGGCCAGGAAAGGATCTGTGGGACTGCAGAGTGAAAATTTCTCACGAATTAAGAGGAGGTTCCTTAGGGGCCCTCAAAACCTCTGAGGGATGAATGGTTTAGGGAGCTGTAAGGAATTTCCCACAGGTTTGCAAAGCCCCTTGTGGCCTGAGGGAATGTGTGTGCTCTGAGACCACTGCTCGAGAGCTGAGGCTGAGAAATTACTGACAATAATAAATAAATTAATAACAATTAATAAAAATAAGGCCTGATTAAAGCTTTGAGAGAAACACAGTGTCTTGGGCTGGGAGGGATGTTTAAGGTCACGCTGTTCCATGGGCAGGGACACCTTCCACTATCCCGGGTTGATCCAACCTTATGGAATTGTCCACCTTGGACACTTCCAGGAGTGGTGCAGCCACAGCTTCTCTTGGAAAAACTAAAACTCAACTCATTATTTGGCATTTTGGACTTAGGGTTTAATGCAACTTGGTGTGGAAATTAAAAAAAAAGCCAAACTTTTTAACATGACCCCAAATTCCCAAGGAAGCCTGGGCCGGAATTTGAGCGGAGTGCTTGAGCTCCCTGATCTCCCTGATGTAAAAATTAACAGACTGTGTGTGAGGAGACTCTGTTCTTCAGAGTGAAAACTTCCCTGTTGTGGTGTGGGGATTTTGTCAGGGTTCTTTGTCAGGCCAGGCTGGACGCTGTGCACTGGGTGATGTGTGAAGGCCCTTCCATTCCCTGGTTCTGTGGTTGCCATGGGGTGAGGGAATCACTCCAGAAAAGCCCACTGAGTGTTCCTGGGGCAGGAAAACCTCTCTCCCAGCCGGGACACTGAAGCTGCTGCTCCTGGAGCTTGCAGGATGTGTCTGGGGCGATCCTTGAGCTGCTGGAGCCTCAGCCCTGTCCTCCAGAGGTTCTGCTCCTGCTGTTCCTCACAGTCTCCAGCTCCCCTCTCCTCCTCCCTTCTCCTCAGCCCTTTTTCCTCTCCACCGCCCCCATTTCCCTCCTGGCTCTTCGCCTGTGGCTTGGCTGCCCTGGCTTGGCTGTCTCCTCCTCCCTCCTCCCTGCTCCCTCCTCCTCCGGCTTTGGCCAGGTGCTGCTCCCCGTTCTCCTCCCTCTGTCCTGCCCGATAAACCAGGCCCAGAGCTGGCAGGATGAAGAACCAGAGCAGAGCTGGTTCTCCAGGGGCACCTGCTGTTCCTGAGGGGTTTTTCTTCTCCAGGTGGCTCCTGAGAGGTCTCAGGGTTAGCAGGAGGCAGATGGGTGGGAAAAGGGCTCGATATGAGCTACAGAGTGAAACAGGTCAGCTGCTGTGATCACCAGCAAAAAAAAACCCTTGGAAGGTCTGGAAAACCTTCCAGAAAAAGGAATGTCCTGTGAGGAGGGGCTGAGGGAGCTGAGAAAGGGGCTCGAGAATCCCTGAGGGAGCTGGGAAGGGGCTGGAGAATTCCTGAGGGAGCTGGGAAAGGGCTGGAGAATTCCTGAGGGAGCTGGGAAGGGACTGGAGAATTCCTGAGGGAGCTGGGAAAGGGCTGGAGAATTCCTGAGGGAGCTGGGAAAGGACTGGAGAATTCCTGAGGGAGCTGGGAAGGGTCTGGAGAATTCCTGAGGGAGCTGGGAAAGGGGCTCAGCCTGGAGCAAAGGAGGCTCAGGGGGCCCTTGTGGCTCTGCACAAGTCCCTGGCAGGAGGGACAGGGAAAAAAAGGAGAGGAAATGGCCTCAAATGGCACCAGGGGAGGCTCAGATTGGAGATTTGTAAAGAAAATTTCCCTGAAAGAGCGGTCAGGCCTTGGGATGAGCTGCCCAGGGAGGTTTGGAGTCGCTGGAATTGTCCCAGAGGAGTCTGGATGTGGCCCTTGGGGACAGGGTTTGGGCTGATGCTGGGTGGGACTGGGTGGTCCTGACGGTCTCTTCCAGCCCTGGTGATCCTGGGATTCTGGGACCTTCATTTTTCTGCCTTCATGGGAGACTGGATGGGGTTTAGGGTTTTGTGCTGGGCTTGGTACTTTCAGCTTTATGTTCTTTATGGAATGAGTAAAAAGCACGGAGCTGGGATTCATGGACACAGAGAATTCCACCCTGACTGGGGTTGGGAAGTACCTCAAATCCCACCCAGGGCCAGCACTGGGAGCAGAAGGAGAAGGTTTGCAGGTTTTACCTGCAAAGCAGTGAAAATTTAATATATGAGGGTGGGATTTGGAGACTGAAATTACTGTGCACATGAATGTTTCAGCAGTTATTTTTATTCCTCTTCTTCCTTTAGAAACTTCTCCCCAGTTACCAGCACCAGAAAACGTGGAGATTTATTCCTACAACTTCCAGAGCGTGCTGAGGTGGTCTCCTGTTGTAGTGGAGAACGGCTCGGTGTTATACACAGCCCATTACAAAACGTGAGTGAGCAGCTCTCAAACCAACTCCTTTTGTTCTAATCCAGAATAACAACCGGCTCGAAAAACCCCAGAAACCCTGAAAATGAATGGTTTTTATCAGAGATGTTTTTATGTGTCCCCAAGAGCAGCTCCTGAGGATACCCAGAGATGTTGCACAGGAATTTTAGCTTTTCCTGGTTCTCTCTGGCCAATTTAAATCCTTCCAGTCTGAAGGTGTGAGGTTTAGGAAGAGTGACAAGTCATAGCTCCAAGGTAGTCATGAATTTTTTTGTTACACAGCAAGATGTATAAACAACAATATATATAAATATAATATAAAAATAAATATATTTATAATATTATATTCATTACATATTATATTTATTATTTTTATTTAGTTCTTATTTTAATCAATATTTAATTTTTTATCTGGATGTGTTAGTTTATTATTAGTTTATTATTAGTTTATTAGTATTATTATAAATATTATTAATATTTATATTTCATTATTTATTGTTTATTATTAATTATATTTATCATATATCCTTATAATATTATATTTCTATAAAATATATGATAAATATAATAAATATATAAATAGTAAGGTAATATATATTAATACAATAAATATATAAAAATAAACATATTTATCATAATACATTTCATTATATTTATTATTTTAATCATTATTTATAATATTTTATTAGTAACAATCTTTCATTATTTGTTATTTATTAGATTAATTATATTTTATTATATTACATTTATATATAATATAAATATATAATACATAAATATAATAAATATATAAACAGTAAGGTAATATATATTAATATAATAAATATATCATATAAAAAGAAACATAATATTTATAATATTATTACATTCATTACATATTATATTTATTATTTTAACCATTATTTAAAATATTTTATTAGTAATATTTTATTATTTGTTAGATTAATTATATTTTATTATATTACATTTATATATAATATATATATACCAAAATATAATAAATATATAAACAATAAGGTAATATATATTAATATAATAAATATATCATATAAAAAGAAACATATATTTATAATATTATTGCATTCATTTCATATTATATTTATTGTTTTAACCATTATTTATAATATTTTATTAGTAATAATATTTTATTATTTATTAAATTGAATATATTTTGTTATAATATTATAGTTATATATAATAAGATATATAAAATTATATATTGAATATATAATAAATAAATATAATAAATATATAAACAGCAAGATACAACATTTTGGTCCAATAGACCAAAAGAAATAACTTTAAAATTAAAAAAAAATTAAATTAAATTACATTAAAATTTAAAAAAAGATTCAAAATAAACATGGGTTTATTTTGAATCTCTGAACTTTGCTAAGCTCTGCCTTGCTGTGTCTGCTTTTTACCCCACAGTCTGTTACACACATATTACATATACACACTCTTATGATAACATCTGGACTCTTTCTCCATAAAATCCCATCACTGCACCTTTAGACTCTTCACCATCTTACCCAATACAGTTTCTCACTTACAACTATAGGAATAAATATTATAAATATATAGGATAAATGAGTTTATCATTGCCTATTGCCTGTGTACCTTTATGATGACACCATCCCAATGGAGGGCACAAAATATTGAGTGAGGCTCCCCAAAAATCACCCACACCACTTTTGTGAGGCAAAAAAAAAGCCTTTACTGCAGGGTCTTGTCAACCTTTTATGAGCTTCTCCCACCAGCTCACCCTGACTGAAGGAACAACCCCCCTCTCATCCCATGGGTGGGATAAGAGAGAAAACCACCCTCAGAACGTCTGTGCCTTGCTTTGGGAAATTAATTCCTTATTTCCACAAATAATCCTCCAGTGAGAATGGGCTCCTGAGGGTTTCCCTTGGGAACATCCAGCGTCTGAGAGCTTGAAAATTCCCTCAGGTTCAGAAAATCATGTCCACAGTGTAACTTTTGGTGTTTTGTTTCGCTTCTTGTACTTCTGCACTTCTCACACCTGCACTGTTCAGTCTTTTTTGAGCTGAGCTCTTTTGGAATACTCCCAAATTCTGATTATCTCAGTTCTCTGGGACAGGAAGAAAACTCCAAAGCTCGTTAGGATTTTGTTTCTCTTGTTTATTATGATGTTATCACAAAACTTGGCAGGTTTTTCTAGACCTTCTGCACAAGTTTAATTTATCTTTCCTTTTGGTTCACTTTGGCTCTGATGGCACAAAATGGCTCTGAACCACGTGGCAGTTTCATCTTTATATCTATTTTTATCTAATTAACAATAGACATGCAAATTATTTTTTTAAATGACTTAATGACCTGTGTGCTGCAATGCATTTTTTATCTAATCACTTACTACTACTCAAAAACTCCTAGAAGAAAATCAAGAAGTAAGAAGGAAAAGAGACAACACCTTAAATACTCTATTTTCTATTTTCTAAACTAGTTTAAACTTTAACTTTTTCACACAGTGACTTAAGAAAACTCTCTAATCTACACACTCCCAGTTTTAGCTTTTCTATCTGACTTTAACAGTTGTTTCCATGAAAACATGCCCATAAATTTAATGTTATATGAAATTCAGTGTTCTGGATTTCAGAGTGTCTTAGTTTAGGGCAAATTTGGGAGAAAATCTCCAAATGGGAGTTCCCCCAGGAAAACAAAATTCAAATGACCCCTCCCCACAACTGGTTTGGAAAGGAAAAAAAAAAAATTCCTTGGAGAGAAGTGGAAAAAGCTGTTTATTTAACAGAAATTGAATAATATTAAACAATAAAACCTCTCACTGTTTGATGGGATGGTGAATCCAGGAAGAAAAGTCCTTTTCATGTGGTGTAGCTCAGCTCGCTCAGGTTCTTCTCAATCCCTCCAGGGTTGGAAAGTGCCGAGGCCCAGGCCCTGGTGGGTCACAGTGTGAGTTCCTGGGGTTTGGCTGGGTGTTTTTCAGTCCAAAAGAGGTTTGAACAGATCCAGGAAAAAGGGGGAAAAAAAGGTCCAGGGAACTCCTGTGCCTCAGCTGGCTAAAACTAACTAAAATCCAGAGAGAAGCTCTGTCCCGCTGTCTGTCCGTGCTGCAGACACCACAGTCCAGGAGCGGGATGTGGGGGAGTGATGTTTTTCCTTAACACAAACTGCAGCTTCTTCTTCCTCCCCTTTGCTCTCAGAGCCAATCTTAAAGGTGCAGAATTTAATATATAACATAAACCAGGAGATTTGGGGATACCAACACCATGAAGTGACCCCAGGACACAGAGGCACAGGAAATTTGGGGATACCAACACCATGAAGTGACCCCAGGACACAGAGGCACGGGAAATTTGGGGATACAAACACCATAAAGTGACCCCAGGACACAGAGGCACGGGAAATTTGGGGATACAAACACCATAAAGTGACCCCAGGACACAAAGGCACGGGAAATTTGGGGATACCAGTATCGTAGTGACCCCAGGCCAGGTGTCAGAGCCAAGAGCACACTCTGTGTGTGTCAGGCTCAGCCCCAGCTGTGTCTGACTGTGTTTGCTGTGCCCTGCAGAGGTTTTTTCGAGGAGTGGAGCGGGATGGGCTGTGCTGGGAGCCCCCAGCCCCAGTGCAGGTTCCCCCCGGAGCTGCGGCGGCGCTGGACGGTCGTGCTGCGCGTCAGGGCCGAGCTGGGCGCCCTGGCCTCGCCCTGGGTGCTCACACCTCCCTTCGTGGCAGAGATGAACAGTGAGTGTTCCTGGGGGTTCTCTGGGGAAAGCTGGGCTGCCTGGGGACATCTGTGGCTCTGCAGCTCCACAAAGGCTCCCCAGGGTTTGGTTCTGCTCTGCTCTCCTGGGTGGCACCAGAGGAAAGGCTGAGGCTCCCGGGGTGGTTGAGCCTTCCAAGGATACTTCCACGTTGTTCTTGTGCTGGAGGGTTTTTCTCATTTCCCCACACACAAACTCTCGGGTTTGTGGCAAAACCACCTCTTTCTGCTGGACAGATCCCTTTGCTGATAAACATCAACTGGCCTGATAAATTGTAGTGATGAATTGTCCTCATGGGAATAAATGGTTTAGATAAATATCAATTGTTCAGATAAGTATAAATTGTTAATGCTACAGTGTAGAAGTGGCAAGGCCATACTTTAAATCACACAAGGTTTGGGTTGGAGGGACCCCAAATCCCACCCATTCCCAGCCCTGCCATGGCAGGGACACCTCCCACTGTCCCAGGAGCTCCCAATGTCCAGCCTGGCCTTGGGCACTGCCAGGGATCCAGGGGCAGCCCCAGCTGCTCTGGTGTGAACAAGTGTGGTGCTGCTGTCCTAGGACCTGCTCCTTGCCTTGGTTTTAGGATTAGGAAAAAGTCAATGTTCAGGATAAAAAAAAGTAGCTTTGAAGTGGGAACTTAGCAGAGCTCAGGGGAAACCATGGTCCAGGCTCCAGAGTCTGAGACTTCCCCTGGTTCTAAATCTGGATTTTGTCTGGCAGCAGAGCGAGGAGGTGCTGGAGTCCTGCACTGATGGGGAACCTGGGGGAAGCAAGGGGGAATCACCTAACCCATCCCAACAGACAGTGCAGGAATGCTTTTCCTGTTTTGTATTTCACCCAGGACTGACTGGGGGAGTTTGAGCTGCAAGGATGGGTCTCCTGATAATAAGGCACAAGTTTTCAGTCGCTTTTCTAGGAAGATTGACTTTCAAGACCAAAAAATGAATATTGTACAACTCTCTTAGTGCAAGCCATTGATAAAACTCCCTTTCCTCCTCTCCCTAAGAATATGGACAGCAAATCTCACCTGCAGAAGGAATTTGAAGGGCTGGTAACACAGCAATTCACAAAAAGCTGTTTTGACTGATTGGGTTTCCTGGTGTCTAGTGTTGAGTGTCTGTGTTGTCCCACAGGACTGGGAGTGGGATCCTGGGGAGTCTGGGACAAGGCAGAGGCTTGGGGTGGGAGAGGAGGAATGGGGTCATTCTTGTGTCAGCTCCCAAAAACCAACTCCATGGCTCCTCCTTCGGTGCTTGGAATAGAGTGGCTGGATTTGAGGCACAGTGAGGAACTGGTGCATGCAAGGAGTGATTTTTGCTGTAAATGAACACTCCTGAGAGCACTCTTGGGGTTTTCCATGATTTACACCCTGGGGCACTTCACAGAAGGAGGTCACCATGGTTATCCTAATGGACACATCAAATCAAGGAGGGGAAAACTCCTTTTTCCTCTTCCCATCTAGGGAGCAGTGGGGTTTTGGGGAGCATGGAAGATTCAAAGATAACGATTTTATGGCCAGTAACTGCAGATCAACTGAGATGTTTCCATGTATTTACTTTTGGTTAATATTTACAGAATTGCCAGGAAAAGTTAAGCAAATACTGTAAATGCATTAAGTAGATGGGGAAATGCTTTCCCTTTCTTGAACAAAAGCTGTTGATACCTGAGCTGTTTGCTGAGTGTGTCTAGGGCAGGGAACGGAGCTGGGAAGGGTCTGGAGCCCCAGGAGGGGCTGAGGGAGCTGGGAAAGGGGCTCAGCCTGGAGCAAAGGAGGCTCAGGGGGCCCTTGTGGCTCTGCACAAGTCCCTGGCAGGAGGGGACAGCCGGGGGGGTCGGGCTCTGCTGCCAGGGAACAGGGACAGGAGGAGAGGGAACGGCCTCAGGCTGGGCCAGGGGAGGCTCAGGGTGGACAGCAGCAGGAATTTGCCCATGGAAAGGGAGCTCAGGCCTTGGCAGGGGCTGCCCAGGGAGCTTTGCAGTGCCCATCCCTGGAGGTGCCCAAGGAAGGGCTGGACGTGGCACTCAGGGCTCTGGGCTGGGGACAAGGTGGGCATCGGGCACAGCTGGGACTCTATGGGCTGGGAGGGCTCAGGAATTCAGGGATTGTGTGGAGCTGGAGCCAGCTGTGCAGCGCAGGGATTCCCTGCTCTCTCTGTTTGCTTTCAGCCACTCTGGGCCCCCCCAAGGTGAACAGTGTGAGCAGCAGCCCCGACTCTCTGCTCCTCAGCATCAGTCCCCCCTTCACCCCCGAGCCTGGGGACCTCGTCCAGTACCACGTGTCCTACTGGGAGAACACAACCAGTGCTATAAAACAAGTAAGGATTGTCCCCAGTTTGTCCTTCCTGCCTGGGGACTGAGGGATGGGGGTCAGTGTCCCTTGGCAGGACAGCAGATGGGGGCAGAAAAGTGGGCTCCTGGGAAAAGGCTTCTGGCACAAGGATTGCTGCACCACCAAACCTGGAAACCTTTCCTTTGGGTGGAAAGGGATTAAACCCCTCTGCAGATCCAGGGAGAGAACTGGTGCCAAAGGTGACTTTTGATTCCACAGTTTTCTCAGGCAGTTTGGAAAACTCTGGAATCTCCCTCCTCTTTTTGCTGTGCTGGGGCCTGATGTGCCTGATCCCAGGGCAGGCAGAGGAGGTTTTTGCCAGGAAGATGCTGGGGTGAACTGGGATGAGCTGGGATGAGCTGGTCCTGTTCATCCTGAGGCTCAGAGTTTTTGGGATCATGGTGTGCTGCCTGTGCCCCAGAGGTTCAGGGGAGATATTGAGTCTGGCTTAAAAAACAAACAAACAAAAAAAAAAAAATTAAAAAAAGAGGAAGAATCTTCTAAATGACGTCAGTCTGAAGTCAAACACTTAAAAAAACAGAAGTGAAAAAAATAATTTCTTTAAAACCTCCTTTTGCTTCAAAGTCTTGGGTAAATTGGTAAATTGTTTCCACTTCCTTCCTGCCTTGCAGCAATGTGTGTTTTTGTCACACACAGAACACCTTCTGCTCAGAACCAGGAAAGAAGTCAGAGTGGTTTCATTTTGCCCTTCCCTGGGTTTTACTCCCTGCAAAAGCTGCATCAAAACTCCCAGAAAAAAACGGAATTATTCCACTGCTTCTGTTATTTGGGAAAGCTGAGTGAGGAAAAATAAAATCTGGGTTTCTTGAATGAGAAACTTAAATGGGGAGAGGGATATTTGTGTTGAAAACCAGTCTGGATTTTACAGTAACACTTTTATTTTGTTGTGTGTGTCTTTTCAACAGAAGCTAAGTGAAAGCAAGACACTATTCCAGATTGGAAATCTAAAGGAATCAACACTTTATTGCTTCAGTGTTCAAGTGCAGCTGAAGATCTACTCAGGGCACTTCTTACAGGGACAGCAAAGTGCCCCAGAGTGTCACAGAACTGCCCTCAGTGGTATGGAATGGGAATGGGATTTTTGTCTGGAGTGGGATGGGGTGGAACACAAGTCCTGGGTCACCTGGACTCCTCCTTTCCAGGGGAATTCCTGTCAGGAATGCTGAGAGCACCACGGGGAGCTCACCCTTGGCATTAGTGCCAAAAGAATCGGGGATTTTCAGCCAGGGATTTCCAGAAGGTCTGGGTGGTACCCAGCCCTTTCTCCTTTTCCTTCATAATCCTGCTGTAAAATGGGATCATGGATTGATCCCAGGGCTGGAGCCAGGCTGGGAGAGCTGGGGGTGCTCAGCTGGCCAGGAGAAGCTCCAGGGAGAGCTCAGAGCCCCTTGCAGGGCCTGAAGGGGCTCCAGGAGAGCTGGAGAGGGACTGGGGCCAAGGGCTGCAGGGCCAGGAGCCAGGGAATGGCTTCAGAGTAGGAGTTGATGGGATCTTGGGCAGGAATTGTTCCCTGGCAGGGTGGGCAGGGGCTGGGATGGAATTGCCAGAGCAGCTGGGGCTGCCCCTGGATCCCTGGCAGTGCCCAAGGCCAGGCTGGACATTGGGAGCTCCTGGGACAGTGGGAGGTGTCCCTGCCATGGCAGGGGGGGAGCTTTAAGGTCCCTCCCAACCCAGCCCATCCCATAATTCCATAAATATGGACCTGCCATATGTATTTGGATTTTTTTCCTTCTTTTCCAGAGGCAACCCAAGCTGTGCACATCATCCTCCTGTTTGTCCTGGCCTTACTCTTCGTGCCCCCAGTGACATATGCTTTGCTGCTTCTGTGGAAGTACCACCAAAAAATCAAATATTGGGTTCAGCCCCCCCTGCAAATCCCATCACACTTCAGGGAGGTACGTGGGGACCTTCAGGGCTTCTCCTGTAGAAGAGAAGCTCATGGGGAACATCACCAAAAGCAGTTGTTGCTGAACAGAAATAGAGATAAACATGTGATGTGTCAAAATGTGCCTTTTCTGATTGTCATCTCCCACTTCTTTCCTCTTTTCTGAGCTCAAGGGTCTTTCCTGTGCCCTGGGACACAACCCTGGCTGTGCTTTCCTGGAAAAGCCTGGCTGATCCTGCTTCCTGTTCCTCTTCCCTTGCTCCTCAGCCTCAAACTGGGGCTCACTGGGGCCACAGAGCTTTTGTGGCACAAGGACTGGAGGCAGGAATGGGATCTGGAAAAGCAAAATCAGATTATTTTTAATTTACAAACCTCGATTGCTTGTTTTGACGCCTCAGGATGATCTCAAGGGGACATTCCTGGGCAGTTCCTCTTTTGTTTTTTCAGCAGGACTGAGATGAAAATCTCACCCTGGGGCATTTTCCTGCTGGTAGCTCAGACATTTCTGGGCTAACCCAGTGGTTTCAGTCCTGCTCATCTTCCTCTTTTATCCTGGCACAAGAAGCAGCCTCTAAGCAAAGTTTTGATGTAAAAATTCCTATTCAGCAGAAAATTTTTTAAAGGTTTTATTTGTGTGCAGCTCGTGGAGGTGAATATTTTGTGTCTGCCACAGTCCTGTGGTTCTGGAAGGGAATTCCCAGGTTTTTGTAGCCAGAGTAAATAATTTTCTGTCTTTGTGTTTCCTCAGCTGGCATTTCATAGGGGTCACTTGTCAAGTGAAGTGCATCTCATTTAGGGAAAAAAAAATCCATGTGTGTTGGGTTAAAAGGGCAAAAAAAAATCTTTGTGCAAGGTATTCAAATAAAGAAAAAATATCCTTGTGCAGGGTATTAAAATAAAGAAAAAACTCCTTGTGCAGGGTATTTTAATAAAGAAAAAACTCCTTGTGCAATGATTAAAATAGTAAAAAATAAATCCCTGTAATTATATTAAAATACTAAAATATCTTTGTACAGGGTAAAATAGTAAAAAACTCCTTGTGCAAGGTATTAAAATAAAGAAAAAAAATCCTTGTGTAGGGTATTAAAATAAAGAAAAAATCCTTACACAATGATTAAAATAGTAAAAAAATAAATCCTTGTAATTATATTAAAATAGTAAAAAAGTCCTTGTGCAAGGTATTAAAATAAAGAAAAAAATCCTTTTGCAATTATTAAAATATTAAAAAAATCCCTGTAATTATATTAAAATAGTAAAATATCTCTGTACAGGGTATTAAAA